CATTTGTGTTATTAACCTAATTATTATTAAACTAATCAATAGTTTATTATAAATAATACCTTTAAGAACAAATTGTGCAGATATTTCTATAACTTTTAAATATTTTAGTTTATATATATATATTTTAAGTAATATATATAATACTGTTATAACTTAAAAAATAAGTTAAATTTAACAGTCTTAACAAAATTTACTCTAATCATATGAAATTTAAGAACACTTTTAACTTGTTGATAAAGAATTAAAAGTCAGATGACTATAAAACTATAAATAGCAATACGTAGCAAAGCGAGTCACAGTCTTGCAACAATGGAAAACAAGATTTGAGACATTATATATATGCTACACTTGATTGTAACAAATACACACATGAGAATAACTAATTTACATTTTATAAAAAGATATAAAATAATTGTCATATATATCTATTTAAAGTAGCAACCAAAGTCTATGTATATATAATATATATAGTATCTAATTTATAAAAAAAATGCTGTAAATAAAACTAACAATATATGATGAATATTAGAATTCCTAAGTTCCTAGTTCAATTTAATATTTATCATCTTTATATATATCAGACATGATAATTATATAACAAATATAGCGTACATATATTGTACCCGGCAAGATACGAGTTCTTGCATTCTTTATACTTTAGATTATATAGATTTTCTTTTCTCGTATCATAAATATATATATAAATAGAAAACATAATTCCACTTATATTATAATTTCAAAGACCGGAAACTTAAAAGCAATATGACTTGTATAGGAGCATTATTTTTATGACACACATTAACCAGCAATGCTACGATCTCAAGGAAATAGCAAACAAGGAGTCCTCACAAAGACATGATTCACTACATGAAACTTTTATTAATCACTTGTATAAATAATCTCATGCAAAGAAACTGTGAAAACATTGGAAAAAGCTTGCAATATGTTCTGCAAAGGAAAGGCTCATCATCATCATCATCAGGATAAGAGGGCTGTAAGTGTTCTGAAAGAGGACTCGACTGAGGGAATAGAACGGTCTGACAGCTGATCAGACACGTTGATCAACGATCGGATGGCAGATCAGAGCAGACAGAGATCGAACATTGTCGTGAATTCTGCGAGATCATCCGGGAAAACGTAGCAAATTCGCAGAAATTCGTGTGAATTTTCACCGCGTGCTGCCATCTGGCCTCTGACATTAGGTCCGCTCGGCTATTTGGGAGCTCGCGGGACGTGTCCTATGCGTTAAAAAGACGTCCCCGCGGCTCGATCGAACACCGTCGCGAGTCCGCAAGGACTCCCGGTGAACGTTCTCGTATGCCCGGATACGCCCGCTTCGCCGCAGCCGACGATCCCGCGTATTTTTCGCGGATCGTCCCGTGGGCTGAGTCAGAGCGCAGCGCACGTACGTACGTACCTTCATGTCGACTCATTTTCCGTTTAAAATCTCATATACGCCAAACTCCGCGAGCCCCTCGCGATCGTTTGCTCTGCGAAACGCGACTGCTCTGACCGTCACTGCGCGTACACTAGGCGTCGTTCAACTACGGCGGACACGGAGAAAACATCAATCGTCAAACAAAAAATTTCTCGTTAGAATATCCAGCGTAAAACCTAACCCAACTAGGCTGACGAACGTGACGTCACATTAGACCGATCCTACATTTGCTCCCGACGTAGAATTGCGTGTCGCCTACTGCGCCGATTGTAGCGACACGCCACCATCTTGGCGGGAAATACAAAATTATCATAATTTATATTACATTTATTATGTTGAAGTATTTCATTTTTAAAATGTTTCTATTCATAGCTATGGTCTCTGTCAATGACAAAATCTCATTCTAATGAGCAATCTTTACTTATTGTGTCACCACGCTTAGCGAAATTATCATTATTCGATTTTACGATTGCTTTTACTCCGAAAGATTTGTGCGTCGCTTACAAAAAAAAAAAAATATTAAATATTCGGATGGCAATCTATGAACGCATAGTTTATGGAATGATCTGGCAATCACTCCTTTCCTGTCCTTTCCTTTCCGACAGCTGCTCCGAGGCATTCGTATCATTCCGTCAGCAGTCGTAGAATTTCGGTATCGGATCTCGCGAAATCGTATCATTTATCGAACAATGGCCATGGTACTCGGACGTATAATCGTATACGGGGGAAAGGGTGCACTCGGCTCGGCTTGCGTATCGCAATTTAAAGCGCAAAATTGGGTGAGTAATGAAATTCACAAATTCATTACTCTCGTATTAATCTTGAATTAATCGCGTGGTTATCTTATCGGCAGACGTTTTATACTACATGACATTTATAAAATTTCATATGTTACACTTTTCAATATTCTATTAAACAATATTACAAAAATGAAAATATGTACATGATTAAATATAATCAACGTCGAATAATGAAATAAAGATACAAAAGTTTAATTTTTATTATTATAGTTTTTTTTCTTTTAATATAATTATTAATTTGGAGACACATACTTTTTGTGTAATATATTCAAATTTTATATATGTACTTATATTTACGTATCCTTCTCTTAGATACACATGTGTATATATAGAAGATAGTATGAAGGATGTAGGATAAAAACTTTGTGTATCAAGGTCACTGTATGTAATAACAGTCAAGTAAGACCTTTCACAACTGCTCGTTCTACAGATTGCGTATCTGTAATGAATATGCATTTAGATAAATCACAGATTTTATGCTAAAGCATAAATATTGCATACTTCATCTTATTTATAAAAATGTTGCTCCTTCAGCTTGTGTATCTGTAATATAAAAATATATTTAGATAAATCACATAAAAATCATTTACATAAATCATGCATATTTAAATAAGTTTTCTATGAATTGGATAATTAATAAAGTTTTTTATACATTATAAATCACATTATTGTAAGAAAAGTATGATATTTTATAACATTCTGTGCAATAGTATTTCTTAATATTAATTTCTAACACAGTGTTTATTGTATTATAATTTTAGTGGGTTGGGTCCATTGATATGAAGCCAAATGAACAAGCTGATGTAAGTGTGATTGTAAATCCTGACCATAATTGGCAGCAGCAGGTAATTTTTTATTATTTACAGTCATATCATTAATATCAAAGCAGTTGACATTAATTTCTTATTGTATAGCAAACAGAAATTCTGACCCAGATTAATGATACTTTGAAAGATGAAAAAGTCGATGGTATTATTTGCGTAGCAGGAGGATGGGCTGGTGGCAATGCAGCGCATAAAGATTTTATAAAGAATAATGATTTAATGTGGAAACAAAGTGTTTGGAGTTCCATTATAGCCGCTAGCATTGCAACTCAATACTTGAAGGAAGGAGGATTTCTTTCATTAACTGGTGCAAAGGCAGCATTGGGAGAAACACCAGGTCTTTTGCTGAATGCTAACATATATATATATCTTGTTACATTTATTAAAAATCAATTCTATTCAACCAGGTATGATTGGCTATGGTATAGCAAAAGCAGCAGTTCATCAGTTGACAAAATCTCTAGCAGCTAAAGATAGCGGTCTTCCTCCCAATAGTTTGGTAGCTTGTATACTACCTATTACTTTAGATACGCCAATGAATAGAAAATGGATGCCGAAAGCTGATACAAGCACATGGACTCCACTTGATTTTATATCAAAGTAAGATAAAGTTTGTCACATCAAAAATTAATATCTTATGTAATTTGAGGTTTATAAGCTTATCTTTGTCTATAGTCTGTTTTGGAAATGGTCTCAAAATCAAGATCGGCCTACTAATGGTTCTCTTCTGCAACTCATTACTAAGGACAATAAAACGGAACTGGTTGCAGCTTAAAAATGTGGAACAAATAAAATTCATGGGAACAAGAATCTCTAAGCATTTATGACAATATCTAGTTTCTATTGTTGCATATAAAAGGAATCATATATATGTTCAGAGGCCAGTCCTCTAAAACACACACGCATTCTTATTTTTATATTAAAAACCAATGTGTGATTTCTTATTTGTCTATTTCAGCATAATATATTTTTATATAATGGTATATATTGATGTATAGACTGTTTAATTATTTTTTAAACAAGCAAATAATTTTTGTACATTAACATAATATATATCTCTATTTTATGTTATTAATGTGATATGTATACTATATTGAATATTGCAAAAGAATGGTTAATGCATTATATATATATTGTCTATTTTATATAAATTTACTTTCCTATTTGCATATATGCATAAATGTAAATCAAATAGAAATAGAAAGATCATACATAGTTGATAACTATCTTGATAGCAATACAATTGATAAGTAAATTGTAAAATAATATTATTTATGTTATATATGATACTCATATTTATATAGAATATGAAAAACTATATAGTTTCTTAAATTTACTAAATTATAAATATAAGAGCAAGAAAATAAGAAAAAATAAGAATTGTTTCAATATCGAAATATTAGTTATACTATTGCTATTATTATTAAAAAGTTCTAATGTATCTTATTTTTTATTTAATTTGTCTTCAAAAATTATATTAATTTTTATAAAATCTAACTATAAATGGTTATTTTTTAGAAATCTTGTAAAATTTAATCATTATAAATTATATATTTTTAAATATGATCTTTCTATACCATTAAAAAAAATTAAAATATATTTGCTATTAGGGGGGAAAAAGCAATAGAAAACATTTTAATATTATAAATTAAGTGTATATCTAATGTAACTAACACATTTAAAGGAAGTTAGATATCAGCCCGGATAGCTCAGTCGGTAGAGCATCAGACTTTTAATCTGAGGGTCCAGGGTTCGAGTCCCTGTTCGGGCGGTTTTTTTTTGTAAAAGAGAATATATACAATATTGCCTATTATTATTCTAATTCAAGCATGTTATGTGTAATATACGATGTTTATCATCAAATCTTATTCTACACAAGTTGTATGTGTGTATAGCACAAGTTGTATGTGTGTATAGGCCATTTATATATAATACATATATTCTTCACAGATCTTTATTTGATATTTTTGTACAATGTAGAGTTTATCATCTGTGACTATGATAATGATATTGGAACAGTGTGTCGACTAGTTTTATAGATATATAAATCAATCAACATTTTTGTGAACATATATACTAATGTCAAACAAATTAAGTTTATGTTGCTTTGGGTGGATTGAGTAATTCGTCAAACATTTTTTGCTCGGCTGAAAAAAAAATAAAAAATTCATGTTTATAACATTTAATGTTACTTTATCAAGTGTATATATATATATCTCTTACAGATATATATTTATATAATTGAATGTTTTACCTAATAAGGCAAGTCTCTTTTCCTCAGCTAGTTTGGCATCGCGGATTGGTTTAAGCTTCAATTCCTCTTCTCTACGAGCATTTTCTCTTTTACTTAATCTCCGCTGATGATATGCACCATAAGCAATTCCAGTAAAAAGCAAACTCCAGCGGCAAAACTATACAAAATAAAATACATATTTATTAATATATATATTAATTAGTTCTAAATATATAAAGACAGCGGAATTTTATAGAAACTATTAAATGCAATATTAACGAAAGTCTCTTATATGATTTCATGTAAGACATTTCAAGTTCATTTCAGGTTAGAAAATTAAGGAATGACATTGATACTTTTCTTAGATAAAACTTGAAACTACAAGTTGCCGTGACAACAGTAAAATTATCACTGTCATCTTTTACATGTATTTATCATTCCATATATTTTCATAAAACGACAGAAAAATTATGTAATGAAATCAATTTTTGGTCAAGACGGAAGGTACTGAGATTTTACTAGGAAAGCTACAAGTGAAAAATATATTGTCGTAAAATAAAATGTATAAAGATACAGAGTAATATATACGATAATGAAAAGTTGTTTGTCTTACTTTAATAAAAGGAGAAACCCGCAAAGGTCTCGGATTCAGTTCGGCAGTCGACATTTTGTTCGCGGATAAGGATCACTTGACGTATTTGTGAGTCTGCTCAAATAAAGCACGCGCACATTTCAATTATTCGACTGGGAGAGAGTGCTATTTTATTCAATATTTAATTGTGCGATTATATATCGACTAAATTAAATAATTTGGACTGAGTAACAATAATAATTATTATAACAGTGAAAATAATATATTTAAACAAAACGAATATGCAATCTTCACTAAATTCTTTGGGGAAATCTAAAGATAAAACGGACAAGGTAAAACATCTCTTTTTATGAAAAAGTAATATTTAAAAAAGAAAACTTTTGCATATAAAGATATGATTATATTTTTCTCTAACTTTTCTTCCATGCATCTCCTGTCTGGAAAATAATTTTATAACCTGTGCATTAAAATGCCGTTAACATCAACAATTTCTTTCATTTTTCAAAAATATATTGATATTGAAATGTCATCACAAAAATTAAAGTTGATTAGAGGTTTGTAAAAATATTTTTATTCTCAGAGATGCGTCGTTCGCGATATTACTCATAGATGGCGCATTTCGACAAAAATTTTTGCCGAGTATCTCATCTAGAATATACTGATTTCATGCATTTCTTTCGATGGGGAAGTGGGGAAGATGGGGAAAGAGCAGGAAAGAGCAGGAAAGAGGTATCGCGTCGATGCTCTCGGCTCTCGGCAGTAAGCAAAATGGCGTCATTGTGGACGGTGATGTCGTTCGCGTTTTCCTTGCTACTGACACCCTTCCTCATGCTGTTGCTGGCGATTGTATTCCTCGCTTCCATCGGCAAGTCTCTCGGTGTACGTAGGCTGTACATCAAGCTGTTGCTGGCCCTCTTCGAGGTGAGTATGCGAGCATGATATTCTGTTGAAAATTTCGAATTTAACCGGCATTCCCGAATCATCTCGGTGATGTAAAATGCGTTTTTTGCGATATCGAAAACATGTCAGCAACATACCGTCATCGCGTGAGGTCTCGGTTTGTACAACCGCTCCTCTTCTCTCTCGCCGGAAGAG